TTCTGGTAATTTGCAAAGACTGGGGAAGGACACCAAAGGTAGCTTGGTGGGTCTAGCAGTCGGTGGTGGTAGTTCTGCAGGGCTGTAGGATATGTTGGTACAGTTGTCTCACATGGCTTTAAGTTTGCCAACACCAACCAGGCATAGTTACACTTTATGACTCCATCAGGTAACACTTATGCAGACTGCTTAATAGTTTTTTTTGTGTGTCTTACATAGTGACCTTCTGTTCATCTATAGATTCATAGCACCAACAGACAGGGATTTTGATGTCCTGTAAGGAATTGTCATTCTATTGCTAAACACCATGAACTCGTAAGACGTATTTATCAGATTTTAAAATGGCAAATAAACTGCAAACACGCTGCATTTAAAGGGGTAGTTTGTGCAGTTGTCAGCTTGTACTGAACTGTCAACTACCCAAAGAATAACTCTTTTCCTGAAGAAGCTGACAAGAGCTTGTCCACTCAGAGCACGAACTTTGTGCCAACAGTTTCTGAAGTGGGCCGTGATTAGAGACCAACAGTTTTTTGTTTTTTTGTTTTTTAAATGGAAACACTATTTGTGAACTGGAATAACTTTGGCTCCATCATAGTGGTAAGCACTGTAATCTTTTTGGCAGACAGTAATTATATGGTTTTCTCAGTCTTTTCTTTTTCCCTTTATTGTTAGGCTCTTACTTATATTAGCAGCTCTTTTTTCAGTTAATCTTATTCTGAACAAGGTTATTATGAATGAGAATTCTGAATGAGTCCATAAACTTATTGCATTAAAACCCTGTTTATTTCCCTCTCATTCCCCACATGCTCCTTTGTTGAATCATGGTCACCTTGTAATCATGCAGCTCCTTTTCTTTCTCAGGTGCTTTTGGGCCCATAGACAGACATACCCATTCCAAAGAGCATACCCTTATATAGGGGCATTTTCCTGGTGGAGACTTTTATGTTAGTCTTGTGTAGTTTTGACTCAAGTAAACTAATGTATTATTATTCTGTGTCCATTTATTTCCATGTCTCCTTTAGAGTTTGCTTTGACAAAGCACTGAAGGTTAAGCAAATAAGACTGTGATTTCCCATGTGATTCTTTCTGCACCTTTTCAAATATAAATGCTACTTCTCCTGTTTTGAAGTAGTAATACCTCTGGCTTGTTTGTAGCTTTGTGTTGGCAGAGCTGCAGATTCATGAGACAGTTCTTTAAAATTGCCGGGTTGGGTTTTCTGCTGTTCTAAGCACATTAGTTGTTAGAACTTTGCTTTAATTGATGGTATGTGTTTATGGTATGGTAGCTTCCATACCTTCACTCATCAGCAATATTCATTTGTTAAAGTAAAAAGCAAGTGTCCAGTTAAGGTATGAAGTACATTTAAATTCTTTAATTTGAACTCCATCATTGCATAGCATTCCT